CTAGGTGACCCAAGCATGTTGGGAGAAAAATCAGAATGAGCTGATAGTGAGGGAGGGACTGAAGATGCACCAAATACGTAGGGAGAAACCAAGCATCCGTAGCAAAGCAGAGGAACTCTTCTTCCCTGGCAGTAGGAGGGAAGGAAGAGAAAAGAGATAAGAGTTCTTTGTGGCTATGTAGTACAGTGGATAGTGCTGGACTTAGATTCAGGGATACTGGAGTTCAAATTTCACCTCTGATACTTGTTAGATGTGACCCTGAGCAAGTCATTTAACCTCTGTATGCCTCAGCTGTCTCATCTGTAAAATGAAAGGTCTGGATTCAGTGGTCCCTTCCAGATCTAGCAGTATGATCCTATGAGGAGCATAGTATAATGCAAGAGGCACTGACCTGGGAGGCAGGAGAGAATAGAACTCAAGTCTTAGCCTTGGACACTTACTGACTGTGTGGCCACAGACAAGTCATTTAAGCTCTCTGGGCTTCAGTTTCCTCCTGAGTAAAATGGGGAGAATTCCAGAGTTGGAAGGCTCATAGTGCTCTAGAAATGGCATCTCTTATTAGCAAGGGGAAGTTGTGAGAAGGAGGGCTGAGATACATCCCATTGGAGAGAGGAGGCCAGGTCACCTGCTGATAGTGTGGGAGGTGGGGGTCCAGCCAGGTGCTTGAAGAGACAGGAAACCATTTGGAACCTCCCGAGCAGAAAATGGGATTAGGTAATCAACAAGTATAGAGTGAGATTGCTCAGCAGCAGTAAGGGCCTCGTTGAGGTCATGCCCCAGGAATTTAGAGTCAATTTCATGTCTTTCCCTAGTAAAATCAACATGCCCAGGAGTAGAAATGGAAGAATTCAAGGCTAATGGTTGGCCAGAGTCGAAAATTTCCAGATTGGGAATGATGGAAGGACCAAGGGACAAGGGCTTCTAGTGACTAGTGAATAAGAAGAGGAAAAATAAGAATTGTTATTGTTGTTCAGTCATGTCCGACTCTTTGTGACCCCATTTGGGGTTTTCTTGGCAAAGATCCTGGAATGGTTTGCCATTTCCCTCTGCAGCTCATTTGACAGATGAGGAAACTGAGGCAAACAGGGTGAAGTGACTTGCCCAAGGTCACACAGCTAGTAAGTGTCTGAGGCTGGATTTGAACTCATGAAGATGAATCTTCCTGATTCCAAGCTCTATGCACTGCAGTGCCACCTAGCTATAAATAAATCCATTTTACAGAAGAGGAAACTGAGACAGGCAACGGTTAAAATGATTTGTCCAGGGTCACAGAGACAGTAAGTATCTGAGGTCATATTCAAACTCATCAGGTCTTTCTGACTCTAAACCCATCGCTGCATCCACTACACAGAACATTATACTTTGCATGTCCTCCATGTTCAGATCCACCAAAGCCTGAAATCTACCATAGCCTCCTCCTGATGCTGTCATTGGCCATGGAGTCAAGGCTGGCTATTGAGGCAAAGGAAAACCAGAGTGGCAGAGAGTGCCTAGGAGAATAAAATAACTCAGTTAATGTTGACAGGCTGCGTCCACACAGTACTGAGGCATGTGTCTGGTAAATAATCGAAAAATTTGACTCAAACAACCACACCAAATTAGTTGGGCCTCCTGTGGATTTTTTTTTTTTGCCCTCACTTTTTTGGTGTGGCTTTACAATCATCAAATCAACTTGATTTTATTTTGTAATCAACTTGATTGATTTTATAATGCATAGACATAGCCTAGAGTTTAGTACCAGGTTGCATTTCTAGGGTTAATTTGGGCTAGCTGGTGTCCATACCACAGCCATGGTTAGTGGTGAAACAGGGAGCAGCACCCTTGATCATCACTGCAGCAAAGCTAGAGAAAGGCATTATGAGTTTGAGGGGGGTGTCGAGGGTAGTAAAGAGAATTAAAAAGGTATAGCACTGTTGCTATTAGTAGCAATTCAAATGTGGTGCCTCATGGGAGATTGTGTGGTTTATGGCTAGAGTTTCAGACCCAGGTAAGCCTCAACAGGGCACAGCAGCATTGTCCGGGATCCCTGGGAAGTTCCTTGCTAAGAACATTCCTGTTTCTCTCCTGGTACACAGTAATCTATAGGAAGGTATGCAGGGGAACTATGTGCTGTGTCTGCATTTTCTCTTCTCATGGGCATGCACCCTTGGAACCTCCCTGATGACTGGGAGACAATGGAAGTAGATATCAGTCTTCCAGGACTGCTGTGTCTGTGATGACAAGGCCTTCCTGAGACAGCCTAGCCTACAGAGAAACTATCCAAAACTGTACCTCGACAACTTGGACTATGTTTGAGAGCTCCACACATAACAGTCGGTAATCTCTGAGAACAGGAAAGATGTATTCCTGAGGTGGAAAATGATGCTGGGGTGCTGATGAGGAAGCTTTAGAGGCAAACTGGGGCCATCATCCTAAACTGGTACAGAGCTGCTCAGCAGACTTCACAGATCCTTCAAAACTTAAGAGGGTCAGAGCAAGCTGGAACAGCAACCCAAGGGGAATCAGTCTCCTTAACCTAGTCAAGAGTCCTCAGTCTCATCTGGGGTACACATGCTCTACCAGAGTGTGGAGGCTTTGTGGCCCCCAAGGTAAGGGATCTGAGGTCATCATCACCACCACATTTATATAGCACTTTGAGGTCTGCAAATGCTCTACGGTTATCTCATGTGATTCTCATAACAACCCTGGCAGATAAGCACTATTATTATCCCCATTTTACAGATAAGGAAGCTGAGCCAAGCAGAAGTAACCTGCCCAGGATTCATAGCTAGGAAGTGTCTGAGGCAAGATCGGAACTCAGATCTTCTTGGTTCCAAGTTCAGCACTCTGACTGATTGCCTCACCTAGCTGAGCTGCTTGGGATTCACCAAGGACAGCCTCACCATCTTCAGCATTAGAGGACCCTTCCCACCATGACCCATTTGCTCTCTGGGACAAGTCTGGCAGTCTGAGCAGAGTATATGACCTTTGGCAGACCCACTCAGTCTTCTGATTTCATATACCTTGGTGAAGGTATGAATGTTAGAGGAAGAAGTTCTGAGCGGTACAAAAAAGCACACTCCAAAAGAGGGTGAGGTCTTCTTCTATCCACGTTCCTCTATTAACCCGATCCACATTTCCAAGTCATGGAATTGACATTTCCACAGTATTGGTATTCTAAATATCAAGAACGTTAACTAGAAGCCAGAAGCCTCCTAGATCAGAAATATCATGACATGCTAAAAACAGACAAAGGAATAAGATTTGAATACTGATGAGAAAAATCACCACCTGAGGAATCAAAGCTGGACTAAACAGCAAAGGGAAATAAGTACATCAGATGACAAAACAACAAAGGTGGTAAATGCTGGCGGGGCTGCAGGAAGACAGGCACATTAAGGAACTGTTAGCGGAATTTATGAATCGGTCCAACTGTTCTCTACAATAATTTGGCTTTGAGAAAAAGACACTAAGATGCACATATCCTTTGACCCATGATAGGTATACATCCCAATGAGGGAATTGTGGTTCCCACCACACCCAGGTGAAAAAAGATAGAGGGAAAGGCCCCACAGGCACAAAATTAATTTATAGCAGCACTTTTTCTAATAGCAAAGAATTACAAAAGGGTGGGAGGGGGGTACAGGCAGTTGATTCCAGCAGATGGATGATATGGGCTACATCTCCCTCTTCTCAAAAGAAAGGTGGTAGACTACAGGTGTGAGGTGAGGCATGCACTGTCAGACATGGCCAATGTGTTGCTGTGTTTTGTTTGACCTTAATTCTTATAAGGGCAGGTTGGGGGGGAAGGGGGGCGGCCAGTGAGCAGGAAGTGACAGCAGTGTGGAAAAAGATACATCAATAAAACATGTATTTTTTTTCTCCAAGGAGAGAAGAGGTCAGCTCCTGGATTACATTGGGATTTTAAGAAACAAGAGCATACTTCCATCAAGTGCTGTCTTCATTGAAATGTCTCCTGTAAAGCAAGCAACTATATCTATGATGCATCTGATCAGAAAGAGGTCTGGAAAATGTCACGGGCCTAACTCTGGTCAATCAGGTTCGTGCAAAGCATACAAATCTCTTGCTGCATTTCTCCAGGGAATACATCTCCAGAGGAGAACATTGCGTCTCCCTTCATTCCAGCAATTCAATAAATGTTTGTTGTTAATGAGGACAATTACAGACGCTGGCACTGAAGCAATAAACCCATAATCTACCACCAGGTGAGTCTGGTACTGTGAGAATGTTCGAGTATAATTGAGAAATCAAGGAGCCTAAAAAATGTTTTAAAAGGCTATCAGAGCAGCAGGGCAACCCCTTCCCCCTGTCCGGGACACCAGTGCTATTCTCGGAAGACTTGTTTCCTCCTAACTCCCCCTCCTCTTTTCCTCTAGGGGGATGGAGGACACTGCTTTGGCCAGTTTGGCTCAACTGTTCTTCTTTGTGACAAGGCAAGGATCTTTGGGAGGAAGGGGATATCAGGAAATGTCTATGATGTCGAAAAAAGAAGGCATCCATAAAGCTTAAATTTTAAAAATAAGGTATGTCCTTCTCAATATTCAATTTCTCTATTATGCCTGATTAACCAATGAGCATTTATTACTATGTACCCAACACTATGCTAAGACAAAAATCAAAATCTCTGCCACTAATGACATCATATTCTACTGGGGAAAATAACATCAGTACAGATAAGTGAATGAAAAAAATATATAAAACAAAGGTACAAATATTTCAAAGAGGAAACACCAACAATTGGGGGTGGGAGGAGGGGGGTAAGAGAGGCCTTGTGTGGAGCTAAGCTGAGCCTCGAAGGCAGCTCAAGATTTCAAGAGGCACAGGTGAGAAGATACAGCATTGTAGGTATAGGAAGACAGATTATGCACAGGCCTGGAGCATGCAGATGGAATGATATGAAATGAAGTCATCAGATATTAAGCTCAACATGACAAAAACTATTATCAACATATTGGAAGCAATTAGTTTTATTGGGGAGATCTTTTAAAATGCATTCTAACCTGCCCAAGCTCTTCATTGAGGTCGGATGTATTCACCAGAGCACCTTCTTGTATTTCTTCATCATAAAAGTCTTTATCCCAAGCAATGAAAAAGGATCCCAAGAATTTCTGCATTTCCACAGTAACATACATGGAAACAGGGATAATGAAATTGAATAGGACCATAAATGACAAGAAGTCTGTGAATATTTTCAGAACCTGGAAGAAAAGAGATAAATCATGGTAACCGGAGGCAGGTTTCTCCCATGGAGACATTAAGAACAGAAGGGAACATGAAAAATCTGGTCTTTATCTTTTTTTAATAATAGATTTTTGATAGTCTTGTTTTGACATCACCTAGAAAGAGTAATTATAGTTATCATAATTAAGAAGAATTTATTTATAATTGATGATAATTAATTATAGGACTTTCAGGTATTCAAAGTGCCTTACATTCAGAGCCCCCATATTCTATCCCCACCCCCTTCCATCCATCTCTTATAACAAAGGGGTTTTTTTAAATAAGGAAAAAATTCCGCAAAATCAGCCAACATATTGAATAAAATCTAATGTTCTAGGCAATATTCCACCTACTGATCTCCTCCCCCACCCCCTAACCTCTGCAAAGGTATGAGAAGGAGAGAGAGTCTTATAAGCTTTGGTCTTTATTGCACAGAATTCCGACCTCTCTGAATTGGAAGGGTCCTCAGCAACCAACTAGGACAATTCACAGCTGAACAGCAATGTCTCTACAAAATCCCCAGTGATCAGCCATCTCACCTCTGTTAGACAACTTCCTTGGTCTGTGGAGCTGGGGAGGGGGGAGCAAGGGGGGCAGGTGGTGTGTGGAGAGGAAAGACTCACTACCTATCAAGGCAGCCCATTCTGCCTGGGGATGGCTCGAACTGTTAGGAAGCTTTTCCAGCTCTCACCTCTAATGCTGAAGAAATTGTGCATGATATGGAAAAAAAAAATCTTTCCCCGAGGACACTTCTTAATAAAAGGGTAAATCTTCAAGTACAGAACCAAAGGTAGATTTTAAGCATCTGTGAAAAGTCATCCTTAATTTTTTTAATGGAATACCTTGGTTTCTTCCAAAATGCTTCTTTCTAGGGTTTTTTAAGAAGCAGTAGTGCTTTTTCTCCTCCTTAAATCTTAACCCTGTGCCCCTTAACTTCTAGGTGATATCCAGTAGTATCTGGCAGAAAGATAGAATGTTTTTATCATCTCACAGAAGGGTAGCATGGTATATTGGATAGAGAGCTGGCCTTAGAGTCCAGAACATCTGGGTTCATATCCTGACACTTGGTAGCACAGCCTGGCTCTGAGCCACAATGTGCCTCAGTTTCCTCATTTGAAAAATGAGAAGATTGAACTTAATGGGCTCTAAGGTGACTTCAAGCTCTAAAAAATACGATCCTTTGACTCTATATCAAAATAAAGAACCAAAGGGTAGAGTTAGGAACAAGGGCTAGAATTTGCTGAGAAACCAAGTTAGGCTTGACACTGAAAGAAACCTTCCTAATGATTCAAGTGGTCTCAGTGGAATGGGCTGTCTCTGAGGTAGGAGGTCCCCCCATTACTTGAAGGCTTCAACAAGAAGATCAATGGCCACTTACTAGGGATGGACAAAATGACCACTGAGGGACCTTCCCGCTCAGACATTTTGTGATTTGAGGAGGCTACAAATCAAAGTGTTAAGAGTATCATAGCCCGCTCACCAAACAGCTTGTAAGCAGGTCCTGACTGAAGAATCAGGCCTAAGTACAAATGAAGTTATTGACTTAAAAAAAAAGATTTAAAATTTTAAAGAAGAAGATACAACTAGGAAAACATCTGGAGTAATAATAATGATCAAGTCACTGTTTCCCTGACATTCACTGAATTGTACTTCAGGATCCAAAACATTAAACCATTTACCTTTGCAGTCTCTCGGTCATGCTGGGTCCTTTGGTTGTACCAAGGCTCATCATTGTGGGAGACACTTTGCCACACATACTTCATTGTGGTGCAAATAGCAGCTTTGGACAAGAGGATGCACAAGTACACAATGAGGAAGCCATTGATAGATCTGAAGAAGAAAAGATGGGTAGGTTTTTAAAAATCATTTTGGTCATTTAGATATGGTTAAGGACTCACTGTTCATGATGATAGAAGCCTAGGCAAATATATCTTGGACAACGTATAGTATGGTACGGTGGACTTGAAATCAGCTGAACTAGGTTTGAGGCCCAGTTCTATTCTCATGCAAGCCTCTGACCTCGAACAAGTCAGTCAACTGACCACAGCAGAGCCAGAACTAGCACTTTTGGCACATTGGACAATCAGTTGGGGGGGAGTGGGGATTCCCTAGGATATGAAGAGAAGATGAGGGGATATGAGGGAAGAGTAGGGCAGGATGGGCTACAGAGGAGTTCACCTGAAGATAGGAATGAAGAATGCCATCTGTTAGCTAGATTCCCATTTGAGCTGATTATTTCCCAGGGGCCGCCCTCTTTCTCTCCCTCAACCTCCCCATCCCACCCCCTCGATTGTTAGCGCTTGCTCTAAGATTATATGCCATTTACACTTTAGAAATCATGTACATACACAGTTACCTACATAGTACCTATTGTCTCCTCCATTAGAATGCAATTCTTATTTTTGCAACACAGCCCTACACACAGCAAGCTTTTAAGAAATGTTTATGGACTTGACTTGCTAACTAGGTACCTTAGTACCCTAAGCCCCATCCTTCTACACTGAAGAGGAGATACAAGTCCTATCAGGGCTCTCGAAATTCCATTACCTGAGGCAAAGGGGTAGTGACTCCAGCTCAGTTACTCTGATCATCTGAACCCATGTTTCTTTTTTTGTAAAATTGGGATACTAACCCTTGTTCTACCTATTTCACAGGGTCATTGTGAGGGTCGAGCAAGTTGTTTGTCTGTGTTTTGAGATTTTTGTAACCAAAAAGGCCTACAGATGTATCAAGGACTGTCATAATTATGGGCACGTAGGTGGTATAGTAGGTAGAATGCTGGAACTTCCTGAACTCAAGAAGTCCTGAGGTCAAAAGCTGCCTCAGATACTTCTTAGCTGTGTGATCCTGGGCAAGTCACTTGACCTTATTTGTGCATTAGTTTCCTCATCAGTAAAATGGGGATAACAACAGCACCTGTCTTATGAGGCTGTTGTGAGGGTCAAATGAGATAATACGTGTGAAATATCTTGGCAACTTTAAAGTGTTATATAAATGCTTGCTATCACCATCACTGTCGTCAGTATTGCTGAAATGGGCAAATGGAAGACAAATTGGAGTTGTTTGTCAAAGAATACCACCTCTTCCCCATGTGCATGGACTCACTAATATAAGATTACCCTCTTACAGCAAGGCTCTACTAGCCCTACTCAGACCCCTGGGATGAGAACTTGAATAAAGGTATCCCCACCACCCTTAAATCTCTAGTGAATCCCAATCCTTTTACCTACCTAGAACCCTGAAAGCCCTAGAACATGAAGGTTCATGAAGAGGTGGCCTACAACCCTCACACATCAGGCCAATCCATTTCTGAGTAAGTGACCCCTAGAGTTCAGAAATCTGGGCTAGCTGGGGAAACAAAGCACGGTATAGGAGCAACCAAGCTCATGATCAGCCACCATGTTCTGATCTATCAAATGGAGACTTCAGTCAGTCTTCTACCAACTAACATAATCTACCCCACCCCCCTCATCCCCTCCCAAACCACCAGCTCAATTTGCCACAGAATCCAAGTAAACAAAAGGTTAAACTCTTATTTCCCAAGGCTTTAACCAGAACCAAGCCCTACACTGATTGGTGCAACCCAATTTCAGACGCATTCTTACTTTTCCACAGCGGAGCGCTTCTGAGATTTCCCTTGGTAATTCAAAGCCATTTTGCTTTCCATTCCTGTGTAAACAGCAACTCCTAAAGAGCAATAAAGTATAATTAAACTAGGTTTACAACTGACCAACTCCCCATCCCATGTGACCAATAAACCCTTTAAGCCCTATCCCTTTCTGATATTAATTAAAAAAACAGAAACAAAAACTAGAATTCCAAACATTTTTCCACACAGGACTTGTTACACTAGGCTTAAGAAATGATGTCATGTGAAGTATAATTCATACAATTAATATGCCTAAAACATTTTCATTTTATTTATATTCTCTTTAAGCATGTCATACTACAAAAAAATATAACACCTAGAAATAGGCTTCCATTAACATTTATTATTATCTGCTATGGTTACTTAAAATTCAATTACTATTCAGAGGCATTATAAAGTGAATTTCTGATAAATAAATTCTTTAAAATGTTCACCATAAATCTTCTTGGTATTTTTTAGAGTAGCTCCTTTCAGCAATAGATTTTCAGGTCCCAAAGACCTAAACAGAAAGTGAATATTGTTTATCCACAAAATCCAGTATCATCAGTAAATTTCTGGGGTACTTTTCCCCCTCCCTACATCCCCTCTGACTAGGGGTTTCATATCCATCTATCTGTGTGTAGCATAAGTGTGGGCTCACACCTCCAAACAGTTCCAAGCCCCAATCTCCAGCAGGCACACGTGGGGCTGGACACACAGACACCCACAGAACAAGTACAAAGAGAGGTAGAGGCTTAGACCAGGAGATACAGAAAGGACACAGACAGAGACAGACAGGGGCAGAGCCTCAGAAGGGCAGAGAGACGAGGAAATAGAGAGAGAAAAATATAAGAGAGATACAAAAACAGACACTAGGAGAGAATATGAATCTTCTACACAAGATGAAACATGCCTCAGCAGAGATCTGTGGGTATACTTTAGCTCCCTAACTCCCACCACATTCTTAACATCCTGTGGCTGCTTCCAGTCATCCAAAGTGGAGAGCTAAAGCCATCGTGAGCCTAATTGAAGGCATGAGGGACACCCACACTTTTTTGTCTATAGTTTTTTAATTTTTTCCTTTGGGAGGGTGGGGAGATATAAACATGTGGTTGTAAATGTGTGGGGAAGACCTAGTTTGGAAATTCTTTCCACCAACACAAAACATCATTTATAGTCTTTGGGTCTTCCCAGGGCACACAGCTAGTATATATCATGGGTAAGACTTGAATCCAGGTATTCCTGGCTCCCAGTCTCACCCTCTATGCTCTATGTGATACTACCTCTCTCTTTAAATTGTATATATGTTCTAAGGACCTTAATTACCCAGATAATTGTCTCAATCTTTTCACTTCACTTAAAATGCAGGTAGTTTTCCAGTCCATCTGTTGCCTCCCCTGGACCACAACTGTGCGCCTACATTTCCCAAACCCCATTGATAACCTTTCAAAATGCATCCTAGAGGAACAACTCACCACGCCCACCACCACAGCACCACCATCATAACTTAGAAGGAGGCCAGGCAATCTGGGTCTAGTTACCCTGGCATTTCTTTCCAAAGGAAAAGTATTAGGAGATATTTACACAAGATGCAAATAGTAACATCAAGAAGGAACCAGTGAATGGTAAAGGAACTAACCTGGCAATGGGTTCTGCATTATTACCATAGATATTGATCTTCCCAACAAACCTGGAAAAAGAATATAATAGAATAAGATTTTGTTCTTACATTCAATTGATACTGACCACCACCAGTATCAGCAGGAATCAAATCATGTAAAAAAATGGACCTGCACAGGCCTTCAGAATAAAGTAGAAAGCCTATTAGGTATATGTCACAAAGTGATGCTAAGAAAATGCTATGTCGTATGTCCATTCTAGTGATTTAGAAAGCTATTATGAATTATTAAAGAACATCAGAGCTGGAAAGACCTCAGGGACCATGAAACTAGTCCAACTCCATCAATGTACAAGTAGGGAAACTGAGGTCCAGAAAGGAGAATGCTCTAGGACACCCAGTGTCAGGAGCTTGGGGCCTCGTAGAGCCGAGAGGAGAAGAAAGACAAAGATGTTGTCCTTTTTATGGGAAAAGTTCCTACATACTTCTGACCACTGTGAGGTAGTTACAAGAGGAAGCGAGCAACTGCAATTCAATGTAGAGAGAATCAGGGAATGGGCACCGGTATTGACCATGGTATCCATGAAATATTAAAAGGTTTAGGGCAGTGGTATCAAACTGAAATAGAAATGAGGGACACTAAACTATACATAAGGACTCCTGCAGGTCCTAAATTAACTTAGAAAGACACATATTAACATTATCTATGCCAGGGGTGGGGAACCTGTGGCCTTGAGACCACATGTGGCCTAAGGGCTGCAGGATCTCCACCCCTGATCTATGCTCTACTGTATTTTTATTCATATTGTTAAATATTATCTAATTACATTTTAATCTGGTTAAGAGGAGTGAATGGGGCCCTGGATGCATGTATGACACCTGGATTAGATGAAACCTTCCATCATGTTGGGTGGATTCTCTGGAAGACTGATGGAAGGTTAGTGATAGTATGAGTAGAAAGGATTAGAGATTCTAAGAAGAATAGGAGACCTTAAAAAAATGAAAATCTGACAAAACAATTATAAATAATGCCAATGAGGGAGAAATAGGGAGATATCTAATAAGAATGTTGTGACTACATAGGCAGCTCTTGAGTGAGCTTAATTTTTTTGTCACCGTTGCCATTCAGTTGTTTCTGTCATGTCCAACTCTTTGTGACCCCTACTTGAGATTTTCTTGACAAAGATATTAGAGTAATTTGCCATTTTCTTCTCTAGGCCATTTTACAGATGAGGACACTGAGGCAAACAGGGCTAAATGGCTTGCCCAGGGTCACATAGCTGACGCTAGATTTGACCTCAAGTCTTCCTGACTCTAGGCCCAGAGCTCTTATCTGCTGTGCCACCTAGCTGCAAAGTTCATTTTTTACAGAATGTGTACAAAAGACAAAAGCAAAGACAAATAACTAAGGACAAATACAAAAGGTTAGCAAATGGCAAGAATAACGATAGAAATTAGTTGAGGCTAAAGAAAAATGTTAAAGACTGTTAAGTCAACTTTCAAAAAAGGGAGGAGAGAGGCTCATTGCTTGTAAATGGTGTGATACTGGCAAACAACAGTGAGTAAAAAGAAATATTCACTCAAGATTACTTCCATCTTTATTGTCGATAAAAATATTAAATAGAAAAGGGTAGAGCAAACGTGGGTGAAAAAAATACACCCCAGGGGCAACTAGGTGGCAGATAGAGCACCAGCCCTGGAGTCAGGAGGACCTGAGTTCAAATCCAGCCTCAGACACTTGACACTTACTAGTTGTGTGACCCTGGGCAAGTCACTTCACCCCATTGCCTAGCCCCCCAAAAAATGTGCCCCAAGATCAATAAGAGATACTTTAAATCAGGTGTTAAGCCAATCCCTGCAAAACTCCCAGTCAAATTAAAATGTAATTAGGAGATGTTTAACAAAATAAAATAAAAATACAATATAACATAAATAATGCTAATTTATGGTTTTCTAAGTCAATATGTACCCTATAGGGATCTGTTTCTATTTGAGTTTGACAGCATCGATTTAAACGAGTTCCCATCTCCTGATCCACATCAATTATATCCCAAGGTCTTCAAAGAATTTCCACATGTGAAGCAGCCTGTTATAGTGGATAAAGCTCTGGACCTAGAGTCAGGAAGACCTGGGTTCAAATCTTGCTTCAGACACATACCAGCCATGTGACCCAGGGCAAGTCATTTAACCTCTTTAGGCCTCAGTTTCCTCATCTATAAAATGAAAGGGTTGAACTCAATGACTTCTAAGATCTCTTCCAGCTCTAAATCTATATAATCTCATGAGCCGATGATTCCTGAGCTACTGTGAGTAATCTTTAGGTAATAATGGAGATCAGGAAAAACCACCAATTGCCTGGGGCCAGGAAAACATCCTAAGTGTTCAAGGAAGAGGGGGAAAAGATGCATTCCTAAAACTATAGCACCAGGAAAATTCTGAAAAGAATTATTTTAAAGAGAGAGTGAGAACAAGCAGAAAGAGAAGTGGGAGAGAGACTCTGCCCTGGATAGAAAGAAGGGCAGAGAGAGGAGAGGAAGGACTGGATGGGACTTCTAAGGTCCCTTCCAATCCTAAGATTCTGTCATTCTGAATGGGAAGCCTTATGCTCATGAATCAAATAGACAGTCATGTTGGTAAACTTCAAAATAAAAGGACAATCTTAAGAAAGTTTCCCAGGACCATGATGTGTTTTGCCAGGCCCATGAAGCAAAACTGATTTTTGAATCATTCTGGAACAGGTCCTACAAATACAAAGGCAAGAGGACTGGAAGAAGGCTTTGCATTTTATGGAATGCTTGCATGGAAGGAAACCAGACCACAGACAGCAGTGAAGGAAAGCGGGAACTCCTTACTTGTACAGGTCAGGCTGAGGCTGTTCACACTCGATCGTGGCTTGGAGGGTATCAATGGAATGAGCCGTGTTAAACGAGCTGGTATCAGGGATAGCATATTGCGTCTAGGTGAAAGCAGAAGTGAAAACCCAAAAAAAGAAGAAAAAAAAAGAAAGAAAGAAAGAAAGAAAAAAGTGGGTCTTTTAGTAAACATCTACCCACGGAATTCTAGGAACACAGTATGGCTCAGTGAGCCATTCTGGCAGAAGCCTACAAATATTGACGCACATTACCCACAAATGAGTTGTATAATATTATTCTTAAAATGTATCAGAGGTAATTAGATGTTCCCCCTGCTGCTTTGGGATTTCAATGATATTGAAGAACTTGAAATCATTCTCATGACCTACTGCTGGGAGATTTCAGTTTGCAGCATGCATGTAATTAACTGAGGAGCCCCCGGAAAAAAAAAAAATTCAATGTATTTATATTTTGATCCTATTATTGCCCTCGCCACAGTGGACTGACTTGGCTCGACACACAAACTAAGCAGCCGCTTCTCGGTGTTGAAAATGCTCCGATTCTGCCAGGAGCAGCAAGCAGTATTAGGAGTGCCATTATCCAAATAGCTTTATTAATGAATTCTAAGAGGCTTCCAAGCGACTACATTTGAGATTGAGGTGAGAGGGATTATGCACCTACTTTTATTCAGGCCTTTGGACCTTTCTCTTGCTGTATATTATGTACTTGATTAATTTCATACGGAAAGTATGGCGCCAGTTGAGACATTTTATAAAGCCACCCCGTGGCTCCCCCCACCCCAGACAAGGCCTAATGCAGATAGAAAAGACTCATCTTGGACAAAGGTTGGTGTCATTTTCTAAGTGGAATATTAAGGAAATGTCTGAGTCATGCTTAGCAGCTGAGCTCTATAAATTGAATCCCCACCCCCACCCCGTCCTTTTAGTTCCTTCAGAAAGAAATCATTTAAAAGGTTTCCATTCCTGACAAAGAGACTCGAAAATAATTTCAGGAGCCAAGCTCAGCTCTGTCCATTTTCTAATCAAGAGAAAGTAAGAGGAAATTTCATGTTTGAATGCTCACACCCACTTCTCCCTGTTTCTTCGTTCCCTGACCTTGGGCAAGTGATGCCATTTCTCTGGGCCTCAGTTTCCTCATGTGAAAAATGAGAGAACTGGACCAGATCACCTCAAAGGTCCTATCTAGCACCAAATTTATGATCCTAGACCCCCATGACCTTGGTTAAATCACTTGCCCTCTCTAGACCTCAGTTTCCTTATCTGCAAAATGAAGTGGTTGCCTCTGAGTTTCCATCTAGCTCCACAGTTATCATCCTATGACACTGAATACAAGCAAATGCCAATCTCTTTAATGGCAGAATAAGTACTTGGCACACAGTAGGCATCTAAGGAAAGCTTACTGAATTCAACTGAATCTGCAATTTAACTGCCAGCTAAATCTCCAGCTCCCAGGCTCCAGGGCATGGTAGCATCACCTGGGCCAGAGGCCAGAGGCCAGAGGATATCTCCTCTTCCTTCCCCAAAGGCTCAATATGTAAAAAGTCCTCTCTTCCTCATGGCTTTGAAGGGTTATTACACCATGTAGAGCTGGTGGAGACAGGCAAGAGCTGACATTGCCAGAGCTGACCAGGTGAGTGCCTTAGTAACTGGTTTAAGTAAATGTATTTTCACACATTCATAATTCTTCCCAATAATAACTTATGAAATTGTGCCCTAAGTGACTAAAAGGGAGGATCAGATTCCTTGAAATCATATTACTTGCACCCTGGGAAAGAGGCCATTCTGTCAAGGAAGTATTCTTCACTTGGAAAAGATTCAACGTAAACACCAGACAGAAGCCAGCAAGTTCAGTTCCATGAAACTGTGCCTCAACTTTACCACCTTGGAATATGCTCATTACCAAGTTTTCACCAATTAGATGAACAGTCACTAATAAATAGTAGAAGGTCATAAAAATGTCAGTGTGGTTTGTTTTATAGACTTGGTTTGTTTTTTTTACCAGCCTCTGCCCTGCTTTGGAAGATTTATAACCTGTCTCACCTGTCAGTCAGAGTCAGTCTGTTGCCAAGTCTATTCGACAAACATTTCTGAAATGCCTCTTACACCTGTCCTGTTCCCTGACTCCTCTCCACTCACATAGCTATCACCTTGGTTCAAGCCCTATCACCCCTCACTTGGACTAATGGACTAGATTCTTAATTGATCTCTTTGCCTCAACTTTCTCTGCAATCAAGCCTCCATACTGTTGCCAAAATAATCATTTTGAGTTAAAGGGTTACCTATATCATGCTCTTGCTAAAAGCATCAATAGCTCTCTTCTGCCTCTAGAATCAACCCTTTGAGGCCTTCCACAGTTTGACACAACCTAACACTACTTCCCTTTACAAACTCTGTATTCTAGTCTGAACTTGACCTTCCATTGCCCAGCTTCCTGTGTTCCCACAGGTCATCCTCCATGCCTAGGATTCACTCTTTCCTCACCCCAATCCCTCAGAATCCTTGTCTTCTTTCAAGGCTCACTTTGGGGGCCACCCAGCTGTGGGATGGTGAATCGGGCACTAGATTTGGAAGCAAAAATACCTAAGTTCATATCTGACCTCAGACACTTACTAGCTGTGTAACCGAGGGCAGGCAATGACAACACTCTGTGCCTCAGTTTCCTCAACTGTAAAATGATGAGATTGGCCTCAGCTTCTACACTCCATTTTAGCCTGAAATCTGTGATCTTCTGGGAAGCCTTCACCAATTCCACCCCTTTGCAGATGTCAGAACCCTCTCTTCCACCTTATTTATCTAAGATCACGGGGTATCCCTCCCAGTAGAAAGGAATTTATTTGAGAGCAAAGACTGTTTTGTTTTTGCCTTTTGGAATTCCACTTGCACTACCCAAGCTGAGTACACTTGTGCAGATGAAACTGGAGGTAAATAACCTCCAAGGATAATTGCACCAAAACCACTTTCCAATGAGACCCACCAAGACAGCAGAAAAACACAAATTCCTTCTGAAAGATTAATTACTCTGAGATGAAAGCGAAGAATCCGGGTCCTTTTGCCACATTACCTTACAGTTAGATTCCCCATCAAGACTGGCTGTTGTAACATGACACGTCCCATCATCATTGGTTGATGACAGGAGGATAATATCACAAGGAAACGTTTCATCCGCGTGTACCTCAACAATATCACCAACCTGGAAGGGAAAAGAATGATAAATAAGCTTATCCCCTTTCAAGGCATTCATTTGTTTTATAAGTGGAATTCCCACTGGAGAAAAAGAGAATTCTATGTGCACAGTAGATTAGCCCCAAAGACCTCCCTTTTGGAACCAAGAGACTCATCAGAGTCCTGCATCATGACAAGGTGGGGAATTGTTACTGTATGAATGACAAGAATCCTCCCTGAAGGTCATAAGAACAGACGAGCAATCCTCTGGCATTTTAAGAGACTCACAGACTACCAAGGCTGACCTTAGCCCTCCACCAATTACTTGGGGATCACATTTCTCATTTCTTCTCTGTCATGATTGACAATGATATCTTCCAGGTAGGTCCAGATGCCTTTATTCGTAAATGTGTTCACAGAAAAGTCTGCGTGACAAATCAGGAAAGACACATTGGCTGAGGTGTGATAACTATTCTGGATTGGCTCTTTCTTTGCTGCCTGAGAGGAATTCATGGTCAAGTCTACTTGATTCAGCAGGCATTTATTAAGCACCTGCTGTGCACAAGTCCCTTTGCTAGACTTTTGGGATACAAGGACAAAACAGAACAATCCACAAGCAGAAGGAATCTATGCTCCACTTACGTTCCCTCCACCACTCCCAAGAACATCATACATGAACATAAAATAATTTCACCTATGGACCACTTGCCATACAGTCAGCCAGAACCCTAAGAATCAATTCATTCTCATAACTACAGAGGATAAACAGGGAAGTGTGCTTCTCTCCTCTCAGAGGGGAGGTGGCGAACTACAGGTGTGGCACATGGAATACATCAAGGCCAATGGATGGGTATATTTTGCATTTGGGGGTAGAGGGTGAGGAATAGGGTCCAGCCACTTGAAAGTAACAACAATGATTTTTTAAAAACATTCATAAAACATTTGTTTTTAAACACAATAAATGACTTCCTTCATCTAGGAGCACACAAGCTCCTATAACGAAGGGAAGGAACCTTAGATAGAAGAAAACCTACCACAAACCTTCCATGGAAAAGCATTCAAAGAGCCTGGAGCTGCTTTATCACCAACTTGCAATGTATTATGCATCTTTAGTGCTGCTGGTAAATCCAATGTCAGATTTTTAAAAAATATTCGATTATTTAAAGCACTGTTTAAATTATTCCTACTCTAGTTTAATTTCAAAGGGAAACATAAAAACAATATCCTTCATTACAGCTTTTGATATAATGACAACTGGGGTATTTACTTGCAAAATCATCAATATGTAGGCTGCTAGAAGGCTGTGACTATTCCTTCCACTTCCTCTTAACACCCCTGGCTTCCTCGAAGGCTCAGCTCAGGTGCCAGGAAGCCTTCTCTAATTTCCCCAAGATGTCAGCCCTCACTGCCAGCTCAAATGATACTGTATGGAACATGTTGCATCCTCCAGTTGAATGGAAACTCCTTGAGGGCAGGGGCTGTTGTTTCCTTTTAATCTTTGTCTCGCCCAGTACCCAGCACGGGGCCTACCACAGAGAAAACACTTAATCAATAAGCTAAATTGAACACAAACAAATGAAGTGAACTAAAAATTCAGTAAGAAGCAAAAGGGCTATGAAGAAGGCATCCTTAGACATATAGAGCCCCTAATCCAAGGGTTCCTGACCTGAGGCCCATGAATTTGTTTTTCAAAAAATCTTTTGAGAATTGCATTCCAATATAATTAGTTTCCTTTGAAATACTATATATTTTACTTGATGCTTTTAAAGGCAAGATTCTGAGAAGAGGTCCATAGGTTTCACCAGACTGTCTAACGGTCCAGGACACCAATAAGGCTTAGAATTTCTAGTCTAACCACATTCTACTTTCTAGCCCAATTGACTACTCTTTGAACCTCATTCATGGCCAGTCCTCTCCCACTCCCAGGCCTTTGTTCACTCCATGCCCTGAGCCTCATAAGTAAGATGCCCAGGAAGTGTTACTGATTGACTCCTTGACTCCAAAGGGTCTAACTTTGTACCTAGCACGCTACTGGCAGACACACATTTCCTATCATTCCTTGATTTGCTATTCTCAGTTTTGAACAGGCATTGTGCCCAACTGCCTTCTCTCACCCAATGAGGATTTGGTTTGGATGAAGGCCCAGTGTGCTATAAGTACACTTGCAAAGGTGAAAAGGGGGTTTGTTTGAAGGTACAACTTCATGCAACTCTTGAGGTCCAAGGATTTTTCTCTGCCTAGGTACAGAGAGCAGGCGATATCACGTGGAATCAAAGACGTAGGCCATCGTCTGCTCAAAAACATAGCTCTCCCCATGTTCCATCAACCAGAACACTCCACTGAGCTGGGAGGCAGGAGACCAGGGTTCTAGTTCTGCTTCCACCATGTCCTTTTATCACTTTTATCAAGTAACTTGTCTCCTCTAACCTCTGAGGTTAAAATCTAGGATAGTATGAGCCTATGATTAGGACCTCAGCATTCCTATCTATGGTGGTGGTATTCAGTCATGTCCAACAAGATACTGGAGTGGTTTGTCATTTCCTTCTTCAGCTCATTTTACAGATGAGGAAGCTGAGGCCAACAGGGTTAAGTGACTTGTCCAGGGTCACACAGCTAGTAAGTTTCTGAGGCCAGATTTCAACTCACAAAGATGAATCTTCCTGACACCAGGCCTGGTGTTCTATCCATTGTAGCGCCACTTAGCTACGCCCCTATTCTTACATATAAAATGAAGGAATTAGACTTAACACAGAAGTTCTCAACCTTTTTGGTCTGAAGAATCCTTTATACTCTCAAATATTAAGAGCACCCCCAAAGAGCTTTTGTTTATGTGTTGTATCTAGCTGTACTTGCTATATTAGAAATTTTAAAAATATTTACTCTATTAGAAAATAAAATTTCTTTCTTTCTTTTTTTTGGCTAGGCAATGGGGTTAAGTCACTTGCCCAGGGTCACACAGCTAGTGTTATATGTCTGAGGCCGGATTTGAACTCAGGTCCTCTTGAATCCAGGGCCAGTGCCCTATCCACTGCACCACCTAGCTGCCCCAGAAATTAAAATTTCTAAAAAGAATTTCAACCTCACAGACCATCTGAAAGAGCTCCCCAGGCTCCACTTTGCGAGCATCTGGATGGACTCTACTGCCAAGTTTGTCTCTGAGGAAGTAGCTACTCTCCCAGAAAGGGTTATGGTTTGCTCTCACCTTAAATTGCTTTCATCTAATCAATACTTAGCTGAGATTGACCTCAGTGACCAGATTGAGTCAGAATAGGGGGTAGGAAGAGAAAAGGGGTAGCTATGAAGCAAGGGCATGTATGATGAAATCATGGGATCTCAGGCTTTGAACACTATGTACAGCAGCCTAAAGGGGATGAGAAGGTTGGCAGAGTAGAAGATGAGGAAGAGGGAGTGGGGAAGATGCAGAAGGACCTGGCCAAAGTTGCCAATCTGCCTGTGGTGGTTGCTGCCTCTGCCTTTGGGGATCATAGGATCCTAGATCTAGCTCCAGAAGGGAACTCTGAAACCAATTAATCCAACCTGCTCATTTTACACAGAAAGAAACTGAGGCCCCAGGGAACTGAAATGACTTACCCAAGGTCACACACAGGATCACAGCTCTAGGGCTACAAGGGACCTTAGAAGTCACTTAATGCAACTCCCTCATTTTGCAGGTGGGGAAATTGAGGTCCAGAGAGGTCAAGTGATTTACCCAAGGTCATGCTAGAAGCATAAGAAGTGATATTTGAACCCAGATCCTCTGACTCCCCTACTCTACTTTATACTCTAGACTGCCAATGCAAGGTTGGGATGTCAGGTCTATTCTGGAAGGGAGGAAGAGGATGAGATATAAATCAGATCTGAAAATGAAGAATTTAGAGAAACTTGGGAAGACTTATAATGACCTTGTGCAAAGTGAGGTAAGCAGAACCAGGAGAATAATTTGGATGGTGGCCACAATAATGTAAAAAAAGAAAAGCAGAACTCTAAACCTTTATCAGTGCAGTGACCTACACAGCCAATGTGTTGATTTCTTTCATTCCAAGTATGAGGTACACAATTCTTTGTTAACAGAAAACGGCTTTATCACAGAGGGTGGGAGAATTCATTGGGATATGACAATAATAGATTTTTAAAAAGGCATCAATAAAACATTTACTTTTTTAAAATGTTTTTTTTAATTTTATTTTATTTTTAATATAAATTTGTTTATTTTTAGTTTTCAACATTCACTTCCACAAGTTTTTGAGTTCCAAATTTTCACCCCATCTCCCCCTTCCCCCCCACCCCAAGATGTCATGCATTCTGAATATCCCTTCCCCTAGTCTGTCTTCTCTTCTATCTCTCTCTCCTTCTCTTATCCCCTTCCCCTTCTATTTTCCTGTAGGGCAGGACAGACTTATGTTCCCCATTTCCTATATTTCTTATTTCCCAGTTGCATGTGAAAACATTTTTTTAAAAAAACATATGTTTTTAAAACTTCAAATTTTCTGTCTTCCTCCCTCCCCACCCACCCTCATTGAAAAGGCAAAAAAAAAAAATGGAACACTTCACGAATTTGCATGTCATCCTTGCGCAGGGGCCATGCTAATCTTCTCTGTATCATTCCAATTTTAGTATATGTGCTGCTGAAGCGAGCACTAAAAATGTTTTCAAAAGGGTAAAATCCCTATTGTCAGGTAACTCCTTCCCATGGCCCTCTGCATTGCTCTCATCTTTAGGTTTATTTCAGGGGTCCACTAGAACCTAGCCCATAAATACTGGAGGTCTCATATACCAATCATAAATTCACCAAGAGATGGGAGTATGGGGAAGGAATCTCCCAGGTGCTGTAATTCCTCTTGGGACATCTCTGAGTATCCCCAAACCAGGCCGAAATGATATTAGTATCTACGAATGTGCTGAAGCCATTTCATGAGAGCTGGGTATTAAGTTTTCAGTGTGAGCATTTATACTTTAGAAATCAGCAAATGCTACAAATTCAGAGCCTAAGTGACTGTTCTGTTGCCAGTCCAGATTTAAGAAAATGGTGGAAAAAATGTTAAGAATGCAAATTAAACTTAAAAGTATATCAGATCTAAGACATCTCCAAAGGCCTCGTGATGGAAAACACCATCCACATCGAAAGAAAGAACTACGGAGTTTGTATGCAGATCGAAGCATACTATTTGCTATTTTTTTTCCTTCTGTTGAGTTTTATTTCCTCTTTCTGGTGGTTTCTCCTATTGGTTCTAATTCTTCCTTACAACATTACTAATGTGAAAATATGTTTAATAGGAATGTATATGTATAGCATATATCAGATTTTGCACCGTCTTGGAGAGGGTGGTGGGGAGGAAGGGAGAGAAAAATTTTAAATTCAAAAACATGTGGAAGTGATTGTTGATAAATCAAAATAAATTAATTTTTTTAAAAAGTGTATCAGTGCTTGTTGTGAAATATTTACACTACTACTACACTACTAGAGTCAGGAGCACCTGAGTTCAAATCTGGCCTCAGACACTTTTTTTTTTCTTTTTTCTTCCCTCTTCCTATCATGTTTCCTCCCTCTCTTGATGGATGGGGAGAAAAGAAATGATTTCTATTAGCATTCAAGTTTTAAGCCTTCATGGCACACAAATATATTCCTTTCTAAAAAGAAAAAAATCACCACTATGTAATTATGGGGACCAACCTCATGAGGTTCCAGAGATGAGCAAAATAAATCCTCCTTCTGTGGTGACTATGGGTATGAATCTCGGCATTCTCAGCCAGAGGCAGTAACTGTGTGGATCTTAAGGGAAGGGTCACTGGGGTGGAGGGGAAGGGAAGAGCGGAGTATATCTGTAAATGACTGTGATGTGTGTTTTCTTTTTAAAGGCATCAATAACTCTTTCAAAATAAGGAAATCAATGAATGAAAATGGAAAAGTTACCTTGATAGCTTCACTCTCTTTCTTCACTCGCTTTGCTTTTTCAATAACATAGACAATGCTTTTATTTACTTCTTTGTCAGCTCGGTGTCTGAGCCAGTCTTCGTATCCCTAGATGCAAAAAAACCCAACTCCCCAATCAGTCTCAGAGAATGAAGCAGAGACATTAGCAAATTCAACCAGTCCCCTGCAAAATGAATCATCAAGCTCTCCAGTCACACTTTAGACATCATCCTCCCGGGGAATCTTGTCACCCAGGGAACATTCCAAAGATCCAAGACACCAGATAATACAAAGCAGCCGCACAATCAGGTTGGCCCTGATGGAAATGGCTTAATTGCTTTTAAATGGTCTGTATTACCAAGATAAGTGGAAATGCATTGGAAACTCAGGCATATAAGGAAACGTGCGGTAGAATGTGATATAGCTATCAAAAATTACAAGTGACTGTTGTGGCTTGATTTATGAAACTGTGTATATGGAGGGAAAAAACGTGAAACACAAAAGAGCACATGTATAGCACAGTGGAGAGAGCACTGGGCTTGGAGCCAGGAACACCTGAGTTTGAATCCTGCCTAGGGTGCTAACTCCCTATGTGACCTTGGGCAAGTGACCTGAAATCTCTAAGCTTCTTGCAACACTCTGAGTTATCTGCTAAGTTAAAGAGGAAGGACCATCTGAATTGGTGGCATGAGTTCCCAAACCAGAGGCTAAAATCATAAAACCTTGACCTACCAATTTAGACCAAGAAGACACTTTAGAAACATTACTTTGTTTGAGATAAACAATAATTCAGTGTCATTTGTGACATAAATGTTATTATTCCCATTTTACAGAGGGGGCAAGTAAGCAAGGAGGGTTTAGTCATTTTTCAATCGTGTCTGACTCTTCATGACCCCATCTGGAGTTTTCTTGGCAAACATCCTGGAGTGGTTTGCTATTTCCTTCTCTAGCTCACTTTATAGGTAAGGAAACTAAGGCAAACAGGGTGAAGTGACTTGCCCAGGGCCACCCAGCTAACAGGAGTCTGAGGCCAGTTTTGACCTCAGGAAGGTGAGTCTTTTGGACTCTAGTCAATGGCAAAATGGGGGGAGGTGAGATCCAGCCCCAACTCACTCCAAGTCTTGTAGTCCTTTTACCAGAACAGGCTTGGGCTTCAATGTGTTTTGAGTCCTTTTTATCCCCAGAACAGATCCTATAATCATAAGACTACAGATTTAGAGCTGAAGGACATCTTAGAGGCCAGCTGATCATAAGATCATGAAGTTACAGATAGAAGGCACGTCAGCAAGCATCTTGTTCAACCCCTGACTTTACAGATAAGGAAACCGAGGCTCAGGTTCAATAAAGTGCCTTCATTCATTTTCACAAACTAAGTGCAACCAGGACAGTGTTTCCTTTCACTTTCTGCCTTTTATCTGGGATTGATCGAAGGAAGGAAGAAGTTCACAGCTGCACCTACTACCTGGGGCCACTAAGGCAAGATCTCTTGTCTCATTTGGCAGATTGTAGCTTTTTACCGCAATGATCCTTGCTCCCTTTCAAAGACAACTGCTTGAAAAACGAAATGAGGAAGGTGAACTCTGTGTATCTGAGAAACCCATCATAGTCCAGGAGCCCAGATAATGACACATACCTCCATGCTCTAGACAGAGAGGCAGCATGTTACATACATGGTCACTACATTAACTATGTAGTCACTGTATTGGGGTTTTTTTATTTCTTAACTGATTTTCTTTGTTATAAAAGAAGAGGGAAGGAGGAGTTGGGGAGAAAGAATAGATCTGGAAGTGAATGTGATTTTTAAGAGACATCCAATAAAACTTCTTAAAAAGAAAAATTTCCTAATCATTTCTTTCTGTCCCTCCCAACCCCCTTTTTCTTTCCTGCGGGACTACGTTTAATCTCTTCCTCTTCCTTTAGGCAATTCCAGACGATGGCTCCAGAGGGTACTTCTAGAGATGCCCATGAAGTAACCAGGGGATGAATGTTAATTGAGGGAAGATAAATCGGGAACAGCTTTTGAAAACTATACATGGCTATTCTTGGAAACAGCAATTCAGTGATGTTTTAAAAAATAATCTTTGATAAATAAACTGTCATTAAATTTAAAAAAAAAGCAAATCATCTTTGCAGCCCTGGGGGGCAGGGGAGGAAGGGGTAGACAGGACAGGGCTGAGGGGAAACCATTCTTAAGGTCTTTATTTAGAAGCCAAGGCTCTTCATAAAATACTTCTGCTGCACCTGATAGGCAAGAGGAGGGCAGGGAACCCCAAGAGGAGAGAGAGGGATTTGGGTTGCCCCTGTTGCTTAACAAAGCTCAGAATAGCTTCCTTCTTTGGGTCCCTTTTTAAAGTGTCTGGATAAATCACTGTTGAACAGTACATTTTTTAATAAGCTGAGTACCCAGAACTGTCAAGGTATATTTGAAAGATTTCAAGTCCACTCGTTCTCCCAATTCCCCCAAGTCAACACGCAGTTTGCAAAAGTCACTACCAGAGGCAATGGAGCTCCCCCTGCCTGAGAGGAGAACTCAAAGGCCAGATATCAACGCCACCGACCGTGGCCAGTCCTTGATGAAGGATACTAATAACAGCTGACAGTGGCTGGCCCCCAGGGGAAAACTTGGGAAGGACACAGATGGGAGTCATTCAGGATAAGTTACCACGGACTGATGGCAGCGTGTATCATTGGAAGGAATGTCTACATTGGGGACATAGCATGTCATGGAATATTCTGAGTAATAACTGACATGTATACAGGCTGATAATGTGTTGTGTGTCCATTATGACATAAAGTCTCACAACAGCCCTGGAAGTGAATGCTTTTTTTTTTTTAACATGTTTAGCTTTTTTGTCTAAACCTGTGATTTTGTCTGTTTCATTTCCATAATGGGTAATTAATTCCCAGTGTGCAAACTACTACCTACCACCAACACAGGTAAGGCATATCACCTAAAATTTGGAATCTTGGAGAGTTACCTGAGGTACTGAGAGATTAGTGACTTGGTCAAGGTCATACAACCACCTGACTTGAACTCTAGGCTTTAGGATTCCTAAAATGTCCTTTGGTTCTGCTTCACTACACCTCTACTGTAGACAAGTACTACTGGCATGATTATCCCCATTTTATAGATGCGGAAACCAAGAATGGTGAGAAGTGACTTGTACAGGGTCACATGGCTACTAAGTATCTGAGGTAGGATTTGAACCTAGGCCTCTCCAGCCTCCCAAGTTCAGGATGCTATACAATATGCCACACTGCTTCTCTAGGCCCATCTGCAGAAGTACACATGCTCATTTAATCTTCATTCCCAGCTAAAGATGACAGAAAGGGATACAATAGAATATTTGTTCTTCATTTGGAAATAAGGAGGCAAGGTAGGATAGGGAATATGGGGCTGGATTTGGAGTCAGGAAGACCCAAGTTCAAGTCTTAAATCTAATACATCCTGTCCATGTGACCCTGAAAAAGATCTTTAACATCTCTAGTGTTCTAAGTTTGCAGATGGAGTGCCAGGGTGGTCAAATTGCATCGGTGAAGGGAGTTTTCACACTGGGAGTTCCCTAGCCTGACGCAATCACAGATTCAGATGAGACAAAAATTAAAGGAAGGCAGGAATTAGAAGGAAGATAATTAGCCTCCATTGTAAAACTATTCTGGAACTGTGGTTCGATATTCAATAGGGCCATACTGGAAACGGCAGGAGAGGAGTAGAGAGCTCTGCCCAGTGGGCATATGTTCAGCTCACAAGGGAAGAAAGGCTGAGATCATCTGGGCTGTGATTGGGAGACAAGTCAGTTGTATGAAAGCTAACATGCAAGGCAAACCCCTATATGTACCTCCTCTCCCCAAGGAAAAAGGCTGAAGAGGTACGTGAGGTGCACCACATGTTATATATGAAAAAGTGTTGGGTTACCTGTTTAATGGCAGTGACAGTTATCACAAAGAAAAGCGGGAGTCCACTGGTCACTGGGCTGGTTGGTGTATCTACTGTGACCTAAGCACAGAGAGAAATCCAATTTAGAATAAAACAGAAACAAAGCATAATAAATCAAAATGAGTACTGGATTGATAGTCAAAAGTCTAAGGTTCGAATCCTCGCTCTCCCACTATCAGTGTGACCTTGGGTAGGTCAATTGTAGTCTGTCAACAAGCATTTATTAAGCACCTACTAGGGGCCAAACTCTATGCTATGTGTTAGGGATACAAAGAAAGGCAAAAACACAGTCCCTGGCCTAAAGGATTTCACATGCTAACTGGGGGATATAACATGCCACTTTCCCTCCCTAGGCCTCAGTTTCCACTTCTATAAAATGAGAGGGGATTGGATTAAATAGCTTCTGAGGTCCCTTCCCATTCTGAACCTATGATCGTATAGTCCTAATTCATATGTGTGGCTACCAAAGCTTATGTTCCAGTCAGAAACATGCAGACCAAGCCCAGTTAATTTTCAGGTACCAGGGTGGAGATCGATTTTCACTCAAACCAAAGCCAGCAGCTCTAGCAGAGCCAAATCGAGCATCCCACTAGCGATCTTGACTCAAGCACAGTCATGAGGCCTTATGATTATAGTAGGCCGCTCCTCATGCATCAGGAGGCTGTGGGTGGGATACTGAGCTGCCTCACTGGCTTCAAGGATAATGAAACCTGCTTCCTACCCTCCTGAAGATTATTCATGCTTGGGAAATCACTGGGAGATGGCAGAGCCTTAACTATGTGGAACCTCAGGAATGGCTAAAAGGCTACAGAGAATATTTGTGTTTCCTAGTGTAACAGAACACTGGACTCCTATGAGTTCATTTTGCCTTTGCCAGGAAGCCCTCCCACTTCTATTTGGGGACAAGGTATAAAAAAAAAAAACAACCCAACTAGGAAGAGGCCAATTTCTTTCACAGAATGTGGAATGAGTATTGGATTTAGACACAGGAAGACCTGGGTTCAAATTTCAACTAGGCCACATGTTAGCTGTATGACTTCAGAATCTCCCTAAGCCTCAGCTGCCTTCTCTATAAAGTGAGGTTGGACTAGCTGTCTCTAAGGTCTCTTCCAGCTCTGGATTGAGGATCCTCTGAATCAGAGAAACCCAGAGTTGGAAGGGACTCTAGTCCAAAGCATGTCTGAACAAGTATTCCCCCTACAATGACTCCAACACATGATGAACTAGCCATCCAGGGGAAACCAGCACTGAAGGTTCTGAGAACCCCTGCCCTCCCAAGGCAGTCAGTCCATTCAACTTGGGGATAGCTCTGGTTGGAAGGAAGCTCCTGACAATAAACTTAGATCTACCTCTTAGCAATCCTATGCTTCCACTTCTGCCCTCTTAAAGGCAAAGAAGAACAGGGAAAAGAATAGCAGCTCCAGAGTCAGAGGGTAGGGGTTCAAATGTCACTTCTGACATACCTCTATATGTGTGACCTTGGACAAGTCACTTAAGTTCTCTAGGCCTCAGTTTCCTCATTTGGCATCTGAAGTCCCTCCCAGCTTTCAATGTGGACCTTACAACTGTCACATAGAACAATTTATAGCATCCTAGATTGAAAGCCAGGACCATAAAAGGCGATTTAGCCAACAGAAGATACTTTTTTTTTTGGGGGGGGGGAGATGGAGTGGAAGGATCACATTGCCTCGGAAAGATAATCCAATAAGGTGAAGAGGGATTGTAGTGGTAAAGGGAGGATCCACACTGACAAAATTACCATTCTTTGACATATGGGTCACAAGATTGTAGAATGTCAAGGATTTTAGAGGTCATGTAGTACAGAAACTTCATCCCCCAATATTTTACACCAGAGGAATATAACCCAGAAATGACTTGCTCAAGAATTACACAAATAGCAAGAGGTAGCTTCTCTGGTTCTGAACTTAACAGTCTTCCCATGGCACCCTTCAGGTGCATTCCACCCCACTCCCACCTCAAAAAACTCAGCTGGAAGCTGCCTGAGAGCAGGCACTAGTCTTCATCTCTGTCATTGCTCTAGTTTCACTTTCCTCCCTTCCCAATCTTGACCCCGAAGTTCAAACCTCCACTGTGCTCCCCTCCCAGAATCCCCTGCCCCTTGCTATATCTGTCCAGTCAAAAGCACGAGGCCATTAAGAACCCTCCAGAGCAAGGAACTCTTGGCCCTTGGGACAACCAGGCCAAATTTGAAGACTTCTCCCCCAGTTCTGAGAGGCTTGAGAATGTAGCCTGAAGGTTGGCTATCCAGCTGACAATTCCCCAGGCTATGGTTCAGGCCCCTGTGCAGGGCATCCCACTTCCCTTCTGTCTCAGAAATGCTAACAAGTATTTCACATTTTTAAAATGCGTGTGTATGTGTGTGAGCATGCGTGTACAGGTGGCTTTGCTTGGCTTTTCTCCAAAATCGCCAGGAAACTAGAGTCAGTATGTTTCACTGTGCTAACAATTATCAAGGGTGTTAAGTGCCTAAAGAACCATGTGAAGGTCTCCTTAAATGTTAAAATTCCCCAAATGACATTTTGGCCTTCTTGATGGCAATATTTTATATTTAACTCTCTACCCCCATGCCACAGCACTTGTCCAATTCAATGAGCATTTATTTATTAAGCTCCTACTATATGCCAGGTACATTGGGCTAGAGATAAAAAGAAAAAATTAGAAACAGATGAAGATAAAGAAAAGGTATGTGTAGACATACAGATATTGGCCTAGACCCATGACTGCACTAATGTAGAGAACTCCCAGATAAGGAAAGCTCCCTCCACCAATGCAGGTTGGCATCTTTTCTGTAACTGCTGGTCTGAGAGTTGCCTAGAATATTGAGAGGCCAAGTGAGTTGCCCAGGGTCACAGTCAGTATCAAAGGTGAGATCTGAACCCAAGTCTTCCTGATGCTGAGGCTGGCTTGACATCCACTCCACACATGCGTGTGTGCGTGCACGCACATACACACATACATACGAACACATGAAAAACACACCCTTGAACCAACTAGGAAAACAAACAAATAAGAAAATATTTTCAGGAAGTGGTATTTTCCCTTCCTCTGATTTGCTATGTTCTTCTGGGCTTGTAACCTTTTACTTCTCCCATATTATGAAACCCACAAAGCTATACATTTCCCTGCAGTTACCCCACAACTTGAGGGTGAGAGACAGTGTCACTGGCTGCTTCCTGACCATATATTACCTTAGATGCTCACTGATGAAGCCTGTGCCCTTCCAAGAAAGTCCAGAGACATTGAAAAATGAGCATCAACCCACTTACCCAAAGTGAATGCATATCCCCTGATGGGATCTAAAGAGGCCATGATCCCAGCAAATAAAGAGGGCTCACTACAGCGGACAGGATTTTCAGAGTTCCTTTGAAACAAAACGCCTTTGGTCGGATACAAGGAAAGGAATCTTAATATGGCCTTTAGGGGCCATGACTGGGTTAAGAGAGTTCTAATAATGTTCACTGTTTTAGAGTTTAACAACCCAAGATTGATCAGAGAACCCTCAAGAGGTACATAAACATGGATGGATATATGTGCCCAGCACCCCACTGGCCGCAATGGTCATATTAGGGGTCTTAGTGTATGGAAAAAAAATTTCAAACATATGGTTCTTGTGTAGACTAGCTTCCAAATCCAGGAGGATTTATTCTGAAGCAGACCAGGCACTTTCTAAGATGACATATTACATCTAACCACTGACTTTAATAATCGATGAAGACCTCAATATCTATAATTGAGGACAGCAGGCCAAACCATAAGATTGGATCGGGGTAAAGAAAGGTGGATATAGATGTGAAATTCTACCCTTTGTTAAGTCTTTTCTTAAAACTAGTAAGATGTAAGATATAAGATGACATGAATATGTAAAGTGTGAGGTAGTTAGGTGGTTCAGTGGATAGAGGACTGGGGCTGGAGTCAGAAATCAGACCTCAGATACTTACTAGCTATGTGGCCCTGGAAAAGTCACTTAACCTCTGTATGCCTCAGTTTCCTCATCTGTAAAATAACAAGTTTGGACTTAATGATCTCTAAGACTATGATCTTATATGAGAGAAATATGTAAATGACCACAAATGTCTACTTCCTCTTACAAAGATTATGCATATCAACAAGAAGTCTAAAACCCTCTTTTACCAAGCTTCATTTTTTTTTTTTGGTGAGGCAGTCAGCCAAGCTTCATTTTTAATGAAACTCAATAAAAGCTTTTAATTACCAGTAACAGAAAGAATAATAAATTGCTTGGAGTAGCCATACCTCTAAAATGGGATTTCTACTTATCTGGGCCTTACCTGGACTAGGAAAATGATCAGGAAATAAAAATTGGCAATTCTTCGAAACTGTTCAAAAAGATTCTTTGGAAGAAAGTTCCAAATTGTATACTGCAGGAAAAGAAGGAAGAAAAAGATTATTAGCCAAAAGAAAGCTTTGTTAAATCCATAATACTAAAGTCCAAAAATGTCATGAAGTCACATTTTACAGTCCTTCTGTCTCAAAACCACATTAAAAGTTCACAACTTAGACCAAATCTATCAGGATTCACATAAAGAGGTACATAGGCAAATGGATGCAGAGTTTTAACTAGGGTGGGGGCAACTGGGGTGTTGTCAGAGCAATGACTTTTATAGGGTACCCATAACACCCTCCCCCTCCCACCTTTATCCATCCCCAACAGTGCCTAGTCCTTCAGTAGTACAGAAACCTCAGGATGTCCTGGTACATGCTTCTTCTTCCCCCACTCCATTTATACCTTTTGTCCCAAGCACAAAAATTCTTAGCCACAGTTCTATAATCCAGTTAAATTGGACAAATGCTCCTTATTAGTATGAACTTAATCGTTAACAAACACAAACATTTCCATATACAAAGAAGACGATGAAAAAGGCTTGAATAAGAAAGTGAATGTGGATGGAGTTGTGACTTGGTCCAGCCAGTCAGTGTGAAAAGAAATTTTGAATGAGGCCTCAAAAGTTACCCTTTGACCCTGCAATACCACTACTAGGCCCATCCCAAAGAGATCAAAGAAAGAGGAAGAGAATTCACACACAGCAAGGAACTGAAAACAAAACAGGTGTCCACCAGAGAGTGAATGAGTGAACAAACTATATAGTATGCAATGATGAATGGAACAGAATGACTGCATCATAAGAAACAATGAACACGACAGATTCAGAGAAATCTAGAAGATATACATGAAGGAGAAGTTCGTCTAGACTTTGTCTTGATACTGTGTTCCCAAAAAGCACCAGTGATCCATTCAGTCTACCACTGTCTCATCCTCCATGTTTAGCCAATCTCTGGGATGGTAAGAGTCATCTCAGACACTATAGTTTTCTCTTTTTTTTAATTGGTTTTGTTTTTGTCTAGGCAATGGGGTTAAGTGACTTGCCCAGGGTCACACAGCTAGTAAGTGCCAAGTGTCTGAGGCCGCATTTGAACTTGGGTCTTCCGGATTCCAGGGCCAGTGCTCTAGCCACTGCACTGCCCCCAGGCACTATAGTTTCCTATCTTCTTTGTTGGTCCCTCATCTGCTTCCCAAATCCTTGATGGTACTCTCCAAGGTTGGATCCTTGGCCCACAGTCATTCTTTATACAGGATGTCCCAAAGTCTTAGTGTACTTTTAAATACTAAATGTACAAAAAAAAAATTGTACTAAGACTTTGGGGCCACACTAAGTCTACTATGTTGGCGATCTCATGTCTCACCACACCCATAGCTTCTACAGTCATTTCTATGCAAATGACTCCCAAATCCATATCCCCAGCCAAGTCTGATTTCTCTTCTAAAGCTCCACACACACACCTCTTAATGGTCCCACCACACCTCCACTCAAGTGTTAAGATCATTCATGATGACGAAGCTAAGCCCAGGGAAATTCTCAGCACACTCTGATACAGCATCATCTAACCTTCCCAGTCTGAGCTTATGTTACTCTCCTCTATGCACTCAATCCCAGTCAACCTGGACTACTTGCTATCTACCTAACATGCCCTGTACTTTCCCACCTCCGTGCCTTTGGCTAAAGCCACTTCATATGCCTATAATCTTTTCCTTTCCCAATTTGGTCATGAAATTGCGGGATACCTTGTAAAACCCAACTCAAATGCCACCTTCTCCATGAAGCCTGTGCTGGTGCCTGTCAGGTCAGTAACAGACTTCTCTCTCATTTTATCCCTCTCTGGCGCATTTACATAACACTCGTATGTTATAGCTATCTGATGAGTGGATGAATATTTTTAGAGGTAGCCAGAAGCACAGGGGGAGATCTATAAGTCCTATATTTCTCACTGTCAAAATACATGTGATCCATATCGCTGACCCATACTAATCTCTACACCCACTGACATATAGCCTCTCTTATAGCCTAAGGGGAATTGCTAGAGCATGCCACACTAGACTGGAGGGACCTATCAGAGCCTGGCTAAGAGGCACTGGGAGGCAACAGCTTAGCCAGGAATATTAGCTTGGTCTACTCCAGAGTCTATAAGGAGCTGTAGCTCCACAAGCCTGGAGTTGGACAGAATTGTCTGTGATTCTTCAGGTGCCAAACTACATGGAGGCAGGAGGATGGACTGCATCACCCCCTCCAACTCCCTAGAAATAGGATAGTCATTCAAACTCTAGGGCTACCTACTGAGCTCAACCTATGAAGAAAGACAACAGGGCCATCACTGAAATTTACCTATATCCAAGTCAGCCTCAAAGAGCCATCTGATGAAGAAGTTACCTTTTCCAAATGCTTTGGTAAAAGACCAGAAACAAGACCAGAAGGAGATGATTATTAACCAAAAAGGCCGCAGTTACACTCCGATGGCCGTCACTTAAAACGGAAGCTGTACAACAGGAGAACATTCTAATTCAATTAGGTAAGTGGATTTGAAAACCAGGGGACAGATGGTAATACAGTATATGGGCAATTACTGTTGATCTGGCCACAACGCATTCGTGGGTAGCACATTAGAGACAATACCAAGGGAACAACAGGAACTGCCTGGAACATGCATTTTAAGGCATAGCCCACCTATGATCACTTGATGTGTTCCAGACCACCCCCAGTAGGACCACCGCAGTTACTCAAGATTCCTTTGTCTGTATTTCCCTGGTTAGGTTGAACCCCCAAAATATGGTAACAATTCAGCATTTAGTTGTGTTAACCTTTGATTCTCAACCAAGTAAATTTTTACCTGGCTGAACATTAAATTGTTTGAATTCTCTCTGGGGGGCCCTGAGCATATCAAAAGGAGAGACTTTTTTTGTTGTTCCAGCCACCACATTGTACATAATCTTCTCTTCCAAGCAAATTTTAATTGGTTTGGCCCTGCCCTCACGAGATATATATATATATATATGTATAGCATACATATAAGGGATACCGAGTCACAGAATCCCACAGTTGAAAAGGACCTCAGAAGCCACTTAGTGCAAGCCATCTTTACCCAAGAACCCCTTCTAAAATGCCTCCGGCACATGGAAATCCAGTCTATTTGATGACCTCCAGCGAGAGGGGACCCACTTTGTTCTGAAGAAGCCCATTCCACTTTGGGGAAGCTCTCATTGTTACACAGTTGGTGCTTGCACCCCGTCACAGAATGGATAATATGTAGGGAAAGGCAGAAAAATACCAGAATGTCTTGAGTATGGTGGGCCAGGCCAAATATGTCTAATTCCTCTTCCATGTGAAGTGAATGTTGTTTCTTTTTCCCTTCCCCTCCTCACCCCCACCCAATCTTCCCTTTTCCAGGCCAAACACCACTCAGTTTGGCCTGGTCACCAGTCCCTTGACCATCCTGCTCAGCTTCTGCTGGAAACTGCACAGACTGTCAATGTCCTTCCTCAAATATAAGACAACTTCAGTCCTATCTCCAGGAAGCTTTTCCGGATGACTCAGACTCCCAGTTCTCTCTCCCTTCCTAGAACATCTTGAACTTACTATAAAGGACGTGATTAGCATGCCTTCTTCTACAATGTCTTGTTCTCTAATTGCCTGCACTTGACCCTGGGTAATGGAAATGAACAGAGGCTGCTGGAAAGGACACACCAGAATCAAACAGGTGCAGTAGGACATTCACTGCTAACTTATTCTTGACCTGGGTCACATGGATCTTTCTTTTCTCCCCCATTCAATTGCAAGGACAGGGACTATTGTCTTATACTTCTATTCTGCTCTGACATGCCCACAGCACAGAGTACAGGGGGAATGTTCGATAAATACTTCTTTCTTGACATAAGTGGCATTCACATACAAATGAGAAAAGCCTTTCTAAATTTAAAGGAAAACAATTCCAACCATTTCAATAAAGTCTGTTCGTGCCCAGTTTGACGTGAAGGCATAGGATTATGGAATAAGAGCTAGAAGGCTGCTTAGAAACTGATTACCCTAGTCCTTGATGCTAGGTGTTGAAATAGATATAGGCCTGGAATCAGGAAGACCTGAGTTCAAATCCTGACTCAGGTGCATACTAGCTGTGTTATCAAGAGCAAAAAAAGCCTCTGTTTCCTCAACTATAAAATATGGTTAAAAGGGGGTAGCTAAGTGGTGCAGTGGATAGAGCACTGGCCCTGGAGTCAGGAGGACCTAAGTTCAAATCCCGCCTCAGACACTAACTATGTGATCCTTGGCAAGTCACTTAACCCTGATTGTCTCCAAAAATAAATAAATTAAAATTTTAAAAATAGGGATAACAGGATTAAATGAGGTAATAGTTGCTTTAAAAAAATTAGTATAGTGCCTGGCACATAGTAGGCACTTAACAAATGCTTGTTTCCTCCCTCCCTTCCAACCCTCACACTTCATAGAAAAAGAAATGGAATCCCAGAACAGGGAAGTGACTTGTCCAGGGTCATATAGCTAGGAAGTAGATAGAAGAGTTAGGATCTGAAATCAAGTCCTCTGACTTTCAAATCCATCAGATTTTCCACTGTACCAAATGGGTCTCCTACACTGATGGTTCTCCAATTTCCCATCTGTAATAGGATGGGATATTTTTAAAGCCCTTTTTTATTTTAAATTTAACCAAAATAATCTTAAAGTCATATATATCTAAATCATTCAATTTTTCTTATTTTGTGACCATTTACTTTAAAAAGAAAAAAAAATAATCTTTCCTAATCTCCATTAACTGCTAGTAGGCCCAAATAATATAAATTACTGAGATTGTGAAAATAATTGTTGATGTGAAGGTAAGAGTTTAACTCTTTCCTAATATATTGATGAGTGTGACCTCAGACAAATGACATCCTCACTCTGGACCTCAGATCCCTCCTCTGCAAAATGAGAGAGGAAGACAAGATGATCTCAAAGACCCTTCTAGCTTTAACAGTTAGTTAGGCAGTCAATAAACATTTATTAAGTACCTACTATGTGCCAGGCACCCTGCTAAG